TTCAAATTCTCTATATTCTAAATCTTGTATACGAAAAATGACAAGATCTTTGCAGTGACTACACCTGAATCAAGCGGCTATCGATTGAAATCATTGTACTGAGAAATATACAAGAATGCAGCGATGTCTGTAGAAAGAGATTTCTTTATATGTTTCTCTTCGAGCACGTTATCAGAACGATTGTTCCCTTGATCGTTTGTTGTTCCAAAATTTGCATCTCTCAGCTTCTGGTCCAACTTGTTTTCTCCACAGATAATACGTGTCTTCAATTCTTCGTTCAGTTCTCATTGGATTGGAGGAGTCTTTGAGCAAGTGATGATGAAGAACTAAGCCCTGCTAGTAGCAGATGTATTCTCGACAGAGAAATAATGTCTGATTTTGCGCTGATATTATGTATTGGTAGTTTCACTGCAAATCAAGAGTGGCCATGCGGCTGTGCTGGGACTGTCTAGCCATACATCAGAAGTATCGTCCAAAATTTTGTCCCAACCTGTTCTTCTTGGACATGACTACAACGGGTGTACTTCTTTTACCTTCTTTTTTCCTCCGAGTGACAAACCGTCATATTTGTTTTTACCCTCTATTTCTGTCATACTGATGGGGATAACAGTATAGTTTGGACCATATATTAAAGACTTAATTTTCAATGACGCTCTAACACCCCCGTTTTATTACGTCTTGCGTCCACGCGGAGCGGACGGGTGTCACTTTTTAACGTTTTCTGGCGAGTCTATGTCTATGCATATCGTCTGAGTCGCATCTCCGCACGAAGCAAACAAACTAGTGGCTGTAGTCCAGGGTTTTTTAGAAATCTCAAGGCTGTGATGAGATTTTGGATTTTAACGAACCTTTTTGACATCTTTGAATAATTCCTTTCCTCTTCCTGGCAAAACCCAAAAGCTTTTATCAACAAATCCATAAGCTTCTTTTATTAGAGGAAGACAGTCAGGGCCTTCGTGATCAAAATCTGGATCCAGATGATGGTATAAGTATCTGAAAATCTAGAATATCGGATACGACATTGTGGTAATTCTTTGTAAAATATTCAAATATTCAAATAAACCCGTATTGGTATGCACTTACATTGCCAACGAGCCACGATCGAGCTGGGCTCCGAGAAGAACCGACATGCCAACATGAAGGTCAGAGCTAGCATAGTACAATACAGTCCATCTGATTTCATTATAGCGGAACAGCGAAGTATTCAGTCAGAAATCACATAAAGGAATATTATCAAGCCCATGAACTGCACAGTCTCAACCAGCACTAACAGCACATTCTTTCAGATGACATCGTTACCTCAAAGATAAAAACGATGAGATTGATTATGAAGCTGTGAGTTTGTCACATAATATTAGCAAAACACGTGAGCAAAGACTCTGGAGACGAAAGCAAAAGCAATTCAGACTCCATGCTCAAACTTTTCTGTACATGGACCTCTAGCCTCAAGGTGACGTACAATTCTAAGCACGACTATTTTAAACCTTTGATTGGATTAGTGTCCATATACAGCTGCGGGGTATCACATCCACTAAGGAATGAATGGAGTAATCAAAACCACGGTTCTTTCACGTGGCCTGAGCGCTGCAGCTGGTATTGCAGCCACTAGACCCACCACAGCTGGATAACCTTTCGGAGGAGTTCAATGATCCTCTGTGAACCCAAGCACAAAGAATGTTCTGTTTGGCCATTCTATTCACTCTCCTCACAAGTTTCAGTATGTCCTTTTTGGGAGCATCTTCGATGAGCTCTGGCACTCTTATTCTCTTCAAGAGTACATTCTCTGTATTCGGTTTGTGATAGTGGTATTCTCCCCACCCTTTGCATGTCAACGCTGGCTTCCAGTTATGTTGCACGAGAAACTGCTCCAGCCGTTTGCTGGAGAATATCAGTTCCATTGTCTCATAAGCCAGAATGCAACGATGTTGTTCTTGACTAATGGTGCTGCATGTTCCAAGACGTTTGTGTTCTTTTAATTTCAGCCTTGAACTCGCACTTCCCATCTTATCGAGGCCTAGGTGGCAGAAGATCTTGACCGAAACTATGATCAGTAATCGGATCAGTAAATACTTCGGCTTGCACTTTTCCATTTACCACTGGCAAAGCAGCTCCTTCTTGCTAACTATGTCCTTTTCTCCAGCGCCTTCACCAGCAAACTCAGATATTGAATGAAGACTTTTCACCCAACGCCTGTACAGCTTTAAGGGTATGTCTTGCCTTTAGCTAAATTGCCAAACATGGCGAACTTTCACGATCTGCCATGTACTTAGTCACTCTTGCAACATGAGCATCCATAGCGGACAATATCTCTGGTACCTTGGTGTGAACCTCCGAGCAAACAAGCAATCAAATGCAGTGGTCAGCGAGGTCCAGGGGCCGAGTCGTCTACGTGCATTCGCCGATTTTTCTCCTCCATGAGTCATATGCTCAAGTTAGAAGAAGCTTGTTGGCGGTTCTCACTTCAACACTATAAGCACAGGATATAGAGCTCAGCAGACCGAGCAACGTCGCCCATGCGAGATGACTGTTGCATTGAGAAGCGTTGTAGTGTAGAGGCGATCAGACTGAACGACTTTCTGAAACTCGCTGAAGATTCCAAACGGTGCAATTCTTCAACCGCTCCAGTTCAGACCTCAGCTGTGCAAACTTTCTGGCTTTCAAAGTTGAATTGCGGCCGTCAGGTATGGAATTCAATTTAGTTGCATACATGGATGACGTTGCTTTACTTGGCTTAGTTCCAAACCGAGTTCATCAGCCGTGGGTGGAGTCGCCTTGAGCACCTCTCGGAGGTACTGGGTTGTTATCGTACTCCAGAAAGTGTGCACACAATCGAGCCCGGGATGTGCACCTACTGTGCAGTGATGGGATTCAAGGTTGGCTCTTAATGAGTACATCTAATCTGATCCTGAGCTGATCAATTCGCCTGTGTAAACTGATTAGCGCCGTTTTGTCACCGATAGATTTACGGGTCGACATGATCGTCGTTGGTAGATTCGATCGGAAAAGATCTGATTAAATTTACACTTTCTTGATTGATTTTTTGTGACTTATTAGAGCGTCACATATATTGACAGCGAGTGTATCGTATAAGATTGTTTCAAAATGTTTTTCTTCTCTATTCTCTAATGATGGATGCACAGTTCGGTCCATATCCAGTGTGGGCGTTAGAGCATTGGAAGGACCATCCGTATTTCATTAGGTATTGATGATCTATTAACAGCACCTTCCAAAAGTTGGCTTATTGATGTTGGACGGCCACTTCAAAATAAGCCCGTTACAATACAATTGTATTTATGACACAAAGTTATATCTATTCAAAACTTAGATAACGGTATGTATTTATATTATTCTAAAATATATATTAGTATTTTAGGCGAAATCGGTCGTGTTTGTAACATATTCGCGTCCGATCTGTAGAAAACAACTTGAATTATTGTCTCCGATCTACTGCCATGCGGGTATCCCGTGCTTAGTGAGGACGTGATATTAAGCAGGTGTAGATATCCATGTGGCCCTATTTGAGAAACAGGGTGTAGATCTAATCAGAAGCAGATTTTGTCTTAGATAGAACTCTCAACGTGTAAATCATTTAAGGTTATGAATTTGAATTGCATCTGGAAACTAGTGTGCTGTCCTTTAAGTGTGACAGATTTTTCAAACTGACAAAGTGCCGCTTTTAAGCGAAGACGAGAGATCAACGAGTTCGAGGAGGAACTCGTTGAGCCATGCGCGGAGGTTCATTTGTTTGCAATGTTCTGACAGCTGTGACAATGTTTCATAAGCATCTGCGCCGGTCGCCAGACAAGGCTACATCTTGGATTCATGGTTCATGTTCGGTTCAGTGGTATCAGTACTATCCTTCCTATAAGGGATCACGCCTTGTTTCATGGTGACATTTTTCGTTGAGACTAAGATTATTTATGGAAATTGACATGTACATGTAAGAAAGCAAGATCATATGAACAAATAATATTGTCAACTATATTTTTTCAAGTATTAAACCCTTAACTTGACAGTGAACACTGTCATAATGTGAAGTTAACGCCACATCAACTTGTTTCAAATAAAACTGAAACCATAGATACTATTCGATCTTATTCCAAAATTTGAATACGTTTTCGTTTTATAATGATGTCTTTTACAATAGTCATCAGAAAAACCAGGAAATATATATATTTGCGCCACCATCATGAAGAGATTGATAATTAAAAAGTAAGACAACATAATGACATAATCTTATTCAAGTACATAATAAAGTGAAGTTTTAGGAAAGGAGACTGTTTCCGTCACCTTGAAGACATATTCCATTAGGAAGCCCCATTATCTTCATAACATGAATGAAGGTGTATAAGTTCAGTATACACCATAGCAACATAGAGTTCTCGATAGCTCTTTTACTTTGTACATAATGTTAACATCATTATCTCATCCATTTAAGACAATGTTTATTGGTTTCTCTATATAATGCAATAGGTGATTGTGTTTATATGATAACAATTTGAAGCATGAAATTCCGCTTGTATTGTCAGATCTAGTTACAAAACTAAAATCAAATTTTTGTTTTTCAACTCAATGAATAAAGTCAATCGCTTCATGTCGATTCTCTTTAGGAAAAAAATCCATCGTTGAACTACTAAACTGCATGCAATTACTAATAAAACTTGCACAAAGTTTTCAGACCATAATGTAGAACGTCATGTAGTGCAATCAATAGTCATGAATGTATTTTATATCAAACAAAAATTTCTAACACATATTCATCTTTGAAAGTGACATTGTAATTTTATTGCAACTACAATGTATCGACTAGCACCGTCCTATATCTTGAGTCTTTTCGGGTATTTTTTTGTTACAGTCTATGGATTTCAAATAAATTAAACCGTATTGTATTGGAAGTCGTAGTTTTGTGTTTTTTTCAAAATAGATGTAAGATCATAGATAGAATAGATGATTTGAAGAATGCTTTACATTGTCCAACTCCAATGTAACAATCTTCCCGTTGTAATTCTAACTTTTTCTCCGATGTATGTCGAACAAAACTAACTTCTATCTACAAAATCCGGTTATACTGATATATTCTAGGTTCGATGAGGAATGATAAGTGAGCAATAAGAAAACTAGTCACAAACAGTGAGTGAGCATTGGCAATCTCTTCGTATATTTGTAATATTTAATATACGCACAAAGCTTTGAAATATTCTTCAGGATGCAAAATTTCTATGGAGTGATATAGTTCTCGGATTTGCAATGTGACTATGATCTTAACTTTAATTCTGAATTGATGTGAACGAAAATATGGGCTTCCGTAGACCCGCAACACGGAGCTACTGGGCACCCGACTTACCTACAGTATGTGACCTTCAGGATAGACCAACTAAGTAAAGGGATACCCTTGGATTCAAGTGCGTCATGATTCCAAATTTTGGTTATCTATCTCCGGCTCAGAAGATATTGTTATTCTTCAGAGGGTGCGGTTCAATTGTGATCCCCTGGTCACAATTGAAAGTTTGTCTACAATTTTTTGAAAGAAAGAACAAAAATCAACGCGAATTGTACTCAGATGTAAGTTTGGCTTCTCAAAACCTAACTGGATCTACAACTTTCTATGAGACCGTCGCACCATAAAATGCAGAGAGCTGAGATAGGTAGATCACCCATTCATTCTGATCGTATGGAAGACAGTGCATGTCAATGCATGCTGGAGAGAAGTTTTACAAAGCCACTTGAGGACAAAGGAATTGGAGCAAGTAGAGAACCCAGGCTCAGGTACGACCACAGAAGACTTCTACAAAGTCAAGAGCAAGATGTGAAGACCATGAAGAGAATGTGAAGTGGAGACTCGAAAAAGTGGTAAAAGAGGCTACATGTGATTAAATTATTGGGGTGTCAACCCCCTTTCCCACTCATGTATATCCTAAGCGTGAGTACAGAGCAAAGCGAAATCAGGTTCGTCGCATTCCATAAAAAGACAACCCTTTACACGCACGGAGATTTGGAAGCCTAAAAAGTAATCGGTCAAGTGACACAGTTCGTGGTTGATAGTACGAACTGCGAACCAGCGACACGAACGGATTGCAACCCAATTTACTCCAGCATCCAAAGTGCAGAAGACTCTCTGTTATCAAAGCCAAATCCAAATTTACATCCACTAGCAACGAACAAATAAAATCCTCAACGCATTGAAGAAGGCGGGCTGCAAGTTGAAAATTGCAAGGGAACGCGACCTCGCCAGCCGAATGAATCCTTGGAGTCTTGGCCACTCCTGTCATAATCCCCCAGAGCAAGTGCTCAACTGGCGGGGGAATCTGATCAAATCTGCGATACCCAGACGAATAGCCAACCTTACAACAATCCCGTCCCTTCCGACCCCGACCAGAACGCGCTCGATGATCCTCGATCTGCCAGTTCAGATGCGCTAGATTCCCAACAACATTCTCCGGGTCGAGGACTCGAGGCAAGACAATATTCCCACGCTGACAACGGATCGGCTCGACCCTCCCAGGCAAGGACCAGCCCTATCCGACGAAGCACTTCAAAGCACACGTCTGTACTCTGGAACAGGTTCGGCACTGCCACGGAAACCGAAGATGTACTCCGTGAATAAAGAGGCAGTTTCAGTGCAAGTCGTCGATGATCTTGCTCGGGATCCGGTTGAGCGCACTTGCGCCGTGTCGGATTGTCCCTTATCCAGATCCACGTGGATTCAGAATTCTTTTACATTTCCTGAAATTTCCTATTTCTTCTTGTCGAACGGACGCTGAGTCATATCACTTATGTCACGTGTCACTTACAGGCGTGGATATGCCAATCAGAACCAACCAGCGCACTGCCGCTGGATCTTCTTCATCCCACTCATTAGAAGTAGTAGATTCCGAAGCTGCTGGGCGTCGGGCTCTGCTCGCGTGGCATTACCTACAGCCTGCTGCTTGTGTGGAATAACACTCTCAGATGAATGGCTACCAGCCTTATCCGATTAGGCACAGACACGTATGCATCTTTCTAGCTCGCTGAGTGGATAAGATCCAGTTACAGTGCGCGGCATGAATAATTCTTTCGTTCTTTGGCAGCCTTGAAAATCGTTTGACGTTGCCGTAAGTCAGATTTGTGTGAACCTGAACGCTGGCCCACGCCGAATTCTCATGTTCGAAGTCACTGAGGATGACATGACGCTACAATGATCTTCTGGAAGGCCACATATCCAGCAGCCCATATGAGGCGATCAGACTGAGTTTGGGATCAAGCTTATGTCGTGAGAATATCGGCCGAGAGTCGCTTAGAACGAGATGCCTGCCTACTCACGAGGGCTGAGCAAAGTCAGTTCGAATTTAGTATATTTATAAGATATGATCTCCAATATTTAATTATTTGTTTCAGATATTTTTAATGTACAGTTGCTAGTTACCCTGCACGAAGTGCATATGGATAAACTTCAGTTGGGTGCTTGGTTTGTTAGCATTATTATCATCAAGATGCATCGGTCAAGATGTCCTTCACATGGGTCTGCGGTTGTGAGAGTTGGTTTCGACAAGTTCTCTCATGCACTTTTACCCAAGGGGCTTTCGTGCCTAGTGTAGAGAGCTCAATTTTGGAAAGGAAGTGGGTTTTGTGTTTGGGCCCATCTTCGAGAATCTTGTCTAATCTTGTCTAATTTGATCCTTCATGTCGGGTTCTTGACCTTCAATCCCATAGTTTTGAGCCGTGCAGTGCAATACGTGAGGAAATAGAAAGATGGATGTTAACCAACGGGCTTAGACTTGGTTCCGAAATATACTGGAATAACACTATCAGAAGAATGGCATCCAGCCTTATCCGATTAGGCGCAGACACGTATGCATCTTTCTAGCTCTATGAGTGGATAAGATCTGTCTCAGTGCGCGGCATGAACATCGATCTTTGGCAGCCTTGAAAATCGATTGAAGTTACTGTTTATTGGATTGAAATGTTGCAACCGAACTTTACCCAAGCCGCGGAACGACAGCTGCATCTGAGGTGGATCCTGCAGTCTAAAATCCCTCGATGGCCCCTACTGAAACAGAAAAATATTATACCCGCAAGTACAGAATGCAGAAACAAAGATGACTGCTGGACCAGTGGGCCGCTGGGCCGAGTAAAGTCATTTGTAGACATCTTTGCCTTTCCGCATTTTACAAAGGACGTACGGTTCTCGTGTAAAGTGTCATGTAGTCTAAGCTGTCCACTGCACTATCTCGAAGTGGAGAAAAATCCTTACAGACCAAGGTGTCGAGGTTCCAAGAGGGAGGAAGATTGTGAAGTAACAGCAGGTTTGAAATTGGAACCCTCGAGCTTGACCTTGACCTTAAACTTGGTTCACAATAAGACGAAAACCAATCCATTAGAAAGTATTGAATCCTAAATTAAAGGCCTTCCTTACAGTTCATTCGTTACATTCTCGACATCCAGAAGCTGTAAAAATTCTTCTGTTGAGCTCTCGCCGGTGAAATCGAAACAAATTTGGTTTAGATTTTTACGGTTTGCCATGCGCTCTTATGTGTAATGAATATTGCTTTCAACAAACTTTTCTTATGATGAAGAAGGCCAACCAACAGGGTCTGCCCGATTTTATGAAACCTACCTGAGGCCTGGTTGCTCTGCCAACCAGTAATACAAGAAGTCATTGTAAAACTTGGCTACCAATAAAAAAATTATCCAATGTACTTCTTCTCACTCGTGTTCGTGCAAAAATATCTGTAACGTGACAAGTGGCTACCAGCCCCAAGTGACGTGAAGTTTTTTGTATCCTTAATAGATCCCTCAAGTTTCTGGATCTGTAGCCCCTCGACCCTCATTTTCTTTCTAGAAATAACTCACAAGAGCAGACGTTCACTCCTTTTTTCCAATTTCACTCTCCATCCGCCTGACAATTCTTTATTCTAGAATCTTCTTCCTTCTGAACTTGCTAGATCTTGAAATCTGATAACAATATTGGTGTTGTTTGTTTGTTCACTTGCGTACTCTCGTTTTGAGTATTGCTCCATATTTATCTCCTATTGAGGTTATCATCTCCTCCTTACTCATAGTTCTGGTCGTGATGTATACTAACCCATTTACCTTCTCCGATTGGCTGCAAGAGCTCTTCCAGTTGTCCACATCTTTTGGAGTAGTATCTTCCATTGATACTCTCCTTCGCACTTATTCCCATGGCAAGTTGAATTGCATTCTCTACTACTACTGAGTTCTCCTCCTCTGACCTATGCTCGCGTTTTTGGGGCACAAATAACCAAAAAGTTATCTTCAACCCTTACTCTACTGGCGTTTGTTCTCTCATTTATCTGGGTATACTATCTACTTGGTTACAATTAGTGACCTGCTTGGTTCTATCTCGCTTCTCTATTGTGATCTTTTCCTCACCATAAGAATATGGTTTTGCCTCCCATATCTATGTTAGCAACGCTACAGTTTGAATTTCTAATTAAAATCTCATCATTCATTTGTAATGGAGAGAAAGGTGTACTCTTACCCTAACTGTCGAGTGGGGGGTGAAACAAACGGTCCTCTCGAAATCTTAATCTTGACTACTACTGATTACTTTAAAATTCTCCAACACAAGCAGGAGTTTATCATCATGTCGGTAGTTCGGACTCTTGGCTTGGAATCATAGGTTGTTCGACATCCAAAACTTTGTCTCGGTCGCGCCTTGCTGAAAATCATCAATATAACTGTATTGTCAATCATATATTACATCATGTTTTACAGAGTCTCGCTCGCTCTGACTGCGAACGAGATTCTTCATAACATGATATGGTCTATCATTGAACATATCTAGCAGCTCGTTTCGACCATCAATTGCATGGCAGTTGTTTGAGAAAGCATATGCAGTGCCTGATGAACGGCGTAGTGAAATTTCAAACATCGAACATCACTCATCCACGTTCCTCGTAACCACATACTGATCGATATTCATCCAGATCTTAGCTGCACGTATATTTTATTTCACACTCCCTACTTTTGATACTTTATTTGGAGAGCATAAACATCCATGTAACTTCCATGTGTTTGTCATTTGTGACAATTAAATGCATTCAAGTAATCTCCTCCAGACTAAATATATGTTCTTTGCAGCTTCCCATCTCTTGTTAAATCTTCATGTTATATAAGAAATGCTTTTGACTACTTCTCTCCACTACTTTTATGTTAGCCCCCAAACAATTTTTCATTTTAGATACTTTTTGACTTACATATGCATCCTACTCTTCTCTTCAAGGTATGCTTTGTCTTGAGTTTTCAATGTCTTTCTATATTTCACCTCCTCCTAAACGTTTCTTGTCTACTTTTTTCCTTTTTGATTCGACCAAGGAGTTATGAGTGAGACTAAAATCTCGAACCATCCTTCTTACACCTGAACCCTACCTACATCCTCATAGTGATGTGGTGCTTTTTGATACAAGAGTATGAAGACATCACACATGGAGTGTTGGTATGTCTTATAGGAGACTAGGATCAAGAAATACATGTGCTTGGTTTAAGATTAGTCTGACTGTGGTTACATTATTTACCCACGACATAACTTGAAAATGAGGATTATCCATAATCCTATTAGAGCGGCAAGTAAAGTGACAATATCCCAAATCCCAAAATATTTGAGTGTTTGGAGATGTCATTTTTTATAGTCTAGCCTTGAAGGTATAGACTTGGACTTCAATATATTGTACTTGTCATACTTTTCAACATATTGTATCGTTTATATTAGCCAATGTGCGTGGTATTTCATTCATATAGATATTATGAGGATGATATTTCTACAGATATGGAACGAAGTGACTTCGGTTCATTTTTTATACTGACCAATCGCACCTGAAATCCTTATCACAATCATCACTTTACATGAAGTATCGTGTGTACCATTTTACAAGATTGTTGAATATTTTAAGTGCAATATAATATACTCATGTTGTGATGGAATTGGGTACAGAGTCATCTTATCCGCGTGGTTTCACTAGAGTTGGAATTGCGGGATCATATTCCTGTTTTGTCACTTTGTCTTTTCCCTCGTAACGATGTTATTGATGAAAGGGCGAAGAATAGAATTAAGAAATATCCGGGAAGAACCAAAAATTGATACAGTATCATTCGATGCTTTACTCTCAATCTCGTTCGTTGAAGGATGCGCTCCACGCGAATTATCGAAGGAACTTCAGGGAAGGCCGCTTTATAGCTGGTGCCCGGACGTGACCTGATGGGAGTCCAAGTGGCAGTTCGAAGGATGCGGCAGCCCTCAAACTCCCACTTGGAAGAGGAGGAGGGCAGTGCGAATCCAATCCCACGAAAATATTTGTTTCTCTTTTTCTACAGCCTCGCCGTAAGTTGACGCCTCCGCGGCCGTATAGATCCAGAAAGAAGTTCCCAGGCGTTCGAGATCTGTCGGACGGCAAAAGCGTGTCTCTTCGGATATTACCACCACGCACGTCAAATATCGAGTAACAGGTCGGGGGGCAGAGGCGTCGAGCCACGGAGGAAGGACACCGAGACGCCAAGAGGCCGACGATCATCCACGAAGGCTGCCTCCGGAAGGCGGGCGGCTCTCAGTTGCCTTCGGAGTCACGTTCGGGCTCCAGGCGGCAAGAGGCGAAGATCCGACCGAGCCGAGGTGGCCGAGCACAGTCAGCGAAAGGACGAGAGCCGATTGCTGCACATCCGTAGGCTGACGAGGCTAGGCCGCCTTCTCAGCCGAGGCTGCCTCCCGAAGGTTCCGGCAGCTGACAGGGCGGACATCTTTCGCCTTATCCAGAACTAACAACGCTAGGCGCGCGCTGACTCAGCCTATGTCAGTGCTTCTCACGAGCTCGCTCTTGGCAAGAGGGCCGCCGGGCAAAGTTCATGATTCCCACCGGATTCCGCCCAACGGTATCGCTCCCCTCGCTGCGCCTTACAGTATCTTATGGCCCGCTCCCAGTGGCCCGGGCGCCACGACAAAAGCGCCGGTTGCCGGGCTGACAGCATCAGCAAAAGGGCGAGACAGGTTCGAAAGATTCCCAACTACTTGGGAGCGGTGCGAGGCCGCGCCAGGTGCATGGACGCCTACGTCAGAGCTACAGCGTTATCGGCAATTTCCCTCTGCCAGCGCGCGCTGCGATGACTCAGCAGCGCTGGCAGACTATATGAGGGCTCGAGCCTCTCAGGGTTGCTCAAACAGAGTCGAGAGTAAATGCAGAGAAGGGTTTGTCAAAACATCCGTCTCTCTTGTAGATTTGTGTACAGAAGCGAGGAATTGGTTGAGGTTAGGAGGTAGCGATAGAAAGAAGGAAGCACGGCGAACAAGAAAGAAATCAGGCGATTGATTGATTGATTGACTGTCGAGGAGGGCGTGAATCGCAGTTCGGTGGTGGCCAACAGCGAGGGGGCCCGTCGAGGCGACTGATTGTTTAGTGGAGGATGGCAAGTTCTGTGGTGGCGTCGGGTTTGGGCTCTTCCTTGGCGAGATTGGCATGTCTGGCAACGGATGCGCACTCGAGTTCTTCCGGTATGGAGGATCGATTCTCGTCCGCGTGTGGGCTCAGGAGCCCCGTGGGGCTCGGTTCAGCCGCCTCTGGGTTTGCAGGTGGTGCTCGCAGGGTGTGTGTGGAGAGTCCTCGAAGCTTTTCGTCCAGACGCGATGGCACCTCGTTCCAGGCCCGTGCTCGTACAGCGACGTGTGATGAAACTGAAGAGAAAGTCGAGAGCCCTAGTACTCAGACGAGCAGAATAGGAGGAGAGCCAACTCTCTATGATATTTTAGGTCTCACCGAAAACGTGGGTGTCAAGGAGATCAAATCAGCATTCCGGCAGCTTGCTAGAAGATTTCACCCCGATGTAAACGCAGAGGAGCAGAGGGAAGAGTGCACACAGGACTTCATGAAGATTCATGCTGCTTACACTACTCTGTCGGATCCCCAAAGCAAAGCCGCATATGACCTACAGCTTTCAATGCAACGTTTTCAAAGGAATGGTTACGCCGGCAGTCGAATAACTCCATTATCTCAAAGTTGGGACTTCCCCACGGCACCGGAGAAATCATCCCCTGCTCAAAATTGGGACATCTCATGGTCGACTGGCTATTCTGCACCGAGTTCTTTCAATTCTCAATGGAAGGGAAGAAGCTGGGAAACTGATCAATGCTGGTAATTCAGCTCAGAAACAAGAACCCCCTATCGTATATAATTTCAGGGGTCTCCGGAGGGCGCGTTACTGCTAAATCTTCTTTTAGAGCTGTAGATTACCCAGCAGCATCCCACCATTTAGAGAAACTCAATTTTACTAGTCTCTGTAACAATCAACAACTGTACATGAGTACGCCCCTAGTCGATGAGAGCTGTTGGCATGACGAACTGTAAATATAGGCAGTCATGACATAACTTCGACAAATTTGTGAATAAATCAATATTCAATCGCCACCATGACCTGCGCACCATGTTTTTTAAGGGTCGCCTTTCAGATGAATTTTGACATTGCTTGTTCCAATGATTTGTGAGAGAGATGTGACGCTTTCCTTTGGTGATCACAGTGACCGGAGTACGCAAAAGCGGTATGCGTTGATCTCACTGATCATGCAGGTAGCCAAAAGCTCTGCAGTGGAACTCATTGTGCACTGACGCGCCTCTCAAGTCCGTACACAGGCCTTGCGGAACGAAAAGCTTATACAGCTTGTCCCCTGTCACACCAGTTATTCTTTGGTCTTAGACCTTGTAAACACCTATCTGGAGAAGTTTCATGTTGCTCGCGTGTTAGTGTGACGTCACAACATGACGGATTATTTTGACTTCAATATTCAGGCTCCAGTGCAATTCGGGTGTGTACGATAGATATTCTGATAGAAAGGCCAGTAAAGTTGAGACGACTTAGTCACAGAGAACACGACCTTGTCATGACAGCTCACGGCTGCACATGTGAAGGTTTTTGCTGAACTTTGCTCGTCAAGTGAGGGAGTGAAACCAGCGGGCTCTTGGGCTTTTAAGCTTCTGCTGCGTCCCAAGAAGGCCAGAAAACCAGCACGTGATATCTAACGAGTTTTGTTTGCACTTCCTCGAAGTCCTCTGTCCCTTGTAACTTGCAAGACAGTGCTGCAAACGTCACATCGTCAGACGCACGCAAATGCGATATCATTTACTCTTTACATGCAAGCTTTCCAAGCAACCATTTGAGTTTGTGTACACTGCGATACCCTGTAGTAGTGCCCGTACACTGGTTGTGAAACATGCAAAACCCACTGGGACAGAATGCACTCGGCTATCTCTATAATTGAAGGCTTGTTGCAGGGAAGATGGAACATCTGCAATAGCTTTTATGTATCAAAGGTGATATATGTTTTCGAACGCATGAATCGAAAGATATAGCCAGGTTGCGAGGACCAGGGAATTCTATGGTCGGACCAACGAAAACTGCTCTGAATAACTGAAGATTTCACCTCTCTGAGTTAAGGCTAGAAAACTTGATGTATTGAGGATGCTTATCACTCGCAGAAGGTTGTCTTAGATGAATTTCAGTCTCCTCGCCGCACAATGGATAATATGGTGGAGAATGCAGTTGTCGTATAATTCGCATGAATGTCCCTAACACCGCTGAATCCAATTTTGGTAATCAGCGGTGTTAGGTACATTCATGCGATTTATACGAGGACTGCATTCTGCATTCCGCTGACTACCAACATTGGATTCAGCATATTCCACATTTTTCATGAAATGAATGTGATATAACGTCACCATTTACCTAGTGTCAATAGATAGTCATAGTTAGAAGCACAAAGTAGTGCCGGTTGTGCAATTAGCATTGCGTGCATTGGATATGCCAGTAGGACCTAAAGTGATATCACTGGACCTAATGTTCACGGAGTAATGGTTTGAAATAGTAGTCAACAGCGTTTAGTGTTTGAAGTTGAGCTTGAGAGAATGACTTTCGATGATAGCTTCTATATGGTTGATTCACAATTTGACATCTTACATACCAAAACTTAAGGCTGATAATAATAAGATTATCATACAATTACCACTTTATCTCAAATTTTGTGAGGTGGTAAAAAGTCTAAGATAAAGTGTATGAACATCAAGACAAGCATTATGCACAAGCAATAAGCGGTGATATTGCAAATTTTATCACGCAGAAAAGTATCAACTGTCGTTCCGGCAGATACTGTACTCAAATAATCAGCACTTGGCTGACTTTGATAGATCCTTTCGAGAAGGCGTAGTATAAACCAAGGTCTACACATAGGTGACGTCAAACAACGTTCCCGCGCCTAGCACATAAATGAGAGAGTCATTGAACTCCCCACGTTACACAAATGAGATCTTTTCCCTGGACAAAATTTCTTTCATCAATTTACTTTCAACATCAAAAAACCTTCACAAAATTCTGTCACACCCCAATCAGATTAGTACATTTTTGAACTGAAAAACCATTGTAACAAATCACAACTATGATATCAATTGTGAGTGCAAAACACGCAAACAGTCAACACAAGATGTAAAGTGATTCATAGTGAAGTAGCTATGTCCACAACGGGAAGCTCACTAGTGAAAGTTATGTTCAAGTCATACACAAATCTTGGGGTATAAGTATCCCAGCACCGTCAACCCTTCTAGCTATTTTAAATTAGTACCTGAGTTTACTTCCTAACCCGAGTCAAACTAAACAAATTTTTGTACTTTGTAGGTTTATACCCAAAATCATCTGAAATTAAAATTTTAGATTATTCTGATTCAAACTTCTAAAATAATCTTATGTGTTAAAAAAAATCTATGTCGAATAGCCAACTGAAAATTCAAAGATTATGAAAAAACTCAACCTTTATATTGTTGAGGTTAACTTCTTTCTTGGAATAAACTTCTATTTTCTGAAGTCGGTTGGGACTGGAGTACTTATCCCCCGAGTTGTTAGTTTTGTATCACCCGCTATCTATTTTATTAAAATCTTTTTACTTGGCACAAGGACGTAGCCCAGAAAGTTGAACCACGTACTCTTCTGTGTACTTGTGTAATTTAATTTGTTTCATTGTCACCTGTTGCTAAATTCTCTTGCATAATATATTAGGAACAAAATATTTCAGGAAAAAGAATGTATTTTGAAGTTTTGTTGTGTCTATGTTGTTTAGTTTAATTCAATACATATTTTCATTACATAAATCATCAAAATAAATTATAGTTATTTATGCCTAGTAAGATTATTTGTCATGTTGAATGTATGTTCAAATTATTATTATTATTATTCTTATTTATATTCCATATTATTGATTATTTATTCTTGAAAAATTGTTTGTGAAAATGCTTAATTGATTCAAATTATGATGATTCTATGTGTTTTCAAAATTAATGATCAATTTTTGTAACAATCAATTTTTCATCTTTCTTTCATGGACCAAGAATGAACATGATGATGTAGATTTTAAATTGCAATTTAAAATCATTTCTTGTTTAATGATAATCTAAATTACTATTATTTTTTAATTTACGTGTTTGCGATTATTTATAAATATCAATACATCAATTGAATATAAACATCAAGAGAGAATGTGGTATAATTTAATATGTATAAACGTGTATGGTTTATTAGACCGTATACGGCGGCGCCTGAATTACCTAAACTGCAACGCATTTCGTCGCCTAACCTAATGTGTCAAGGGCAACCAATGGATAAAGGGTGTGGGTGAAACAACCAGTATGAAAGAGAAAAACAAGTGTAAATGTGTCAAGACAGTAGCGATCCGTTGATACGTTTACGTTCAAGATGGTCACGCATTACCGACTTAAAAGTCGAGAGTGCGAGTCAAATTCTCACCCGATCGTTTTGATTAGTTCACTATTTACGGCAAGAGCTGATCACTACTGCATTCTCTGATCTTGTTGGAGAACAACTTTTTTGCCCTCAGAGTTCATTCTTGTTTGAGAGTTCGATAGATTTTGAATCGAGAATCTAATGGTCAATATACTGAGCTCCAAGCCTCGTGAAGGCATTTTTGCAATGAAGTCATTTCTTGGTGGAACTCGTCTGGCTGCAGTGAAGTCATTTCTCGGTGAAACTCGTCTGCAGTCAAGGCATTTATTTATGAAACTCGTCTGGCAGCAATGAAGGCATTTCTCGGTAGAATTCGTCTTGCTGCAACGAAGACATTTCTGAGTATAACTCTATGAACTTGTGTATTTGAGCATATGTGTTAGATGTTTTAATCTTTTAGCTCTCTTAGTTTATCTTATGGCATCAATTTATCAATGTGAGGAAGTAAACACTAAGTATTTTATGAGCAATACTAGGCTCTGATTTTTTACGTTGGATTCTAGTCTCGTTCATCATCGAGTAGAAGAGAGCACCTGTAATAACCCACTAAAGGCTAAAATTGCAATATAGTGGTAGAAAGGTCAAACCCACAGGGACAGAGGAACACACAGGGTACAAAGTGTCACATTTAACAGACTATTGAGGAGTTTGAATTCCCAGGCGACTGTCACTCCCAGAAATACTGCAAGTGTTCACTCGGAGCTCACTCGGAGGTCGCACAGTGCAGCGTAGTTCACTCAACACACACACACACACCTGAAACTACAGAAACACAACCCAGAGATCGGTTAGGACCTCTACTCAAGATTTCAGGGGGAAAGTCTCTCGCGAGCACTCAGCGAAGCTGCGGATAGTGACTCCCAACTCCGGCTTTTACAACCCTCCCACTAGCTTTCTGCTAGCGTAGGGAACCCGGGTTGGACTTCCTACTTCGGATCGAAGTCACTCATACGCGGTGAACAACACTCTCAACTCACAAAACGCGCAGAGAACACAGGTCTGCACGGAAGGACTCACTGAGAAACGTTCCAATAACACACCATAACAGTATATTGAAGAGTTTGGATTCTTAGGCACTTGTCATTCCCAGAAATACTACAGGGGTTATCTTGAAGGCACGTGCTGCAGCGTAACCTGAATTTACAACCAAGGCTTACACGAAGTAGCAAAACTTCACTTTGGCATTCAGGGGAAAAATCCCGAAGGAGTACAATCAGGAACAGTCACTCGAAAGTGTAGGGGCGAAACTGTTCAAGTATCTAACTCGTCACTGGCTCTGAGCATCGGCAATCATCCGCAGGTGTAGATCCGAACTACTCAAGTCTCTAACCAATGTACTAGCTCTGAACATTCGGCCAAAGGCCTTCAGCTACAAAATGCGGAACGCCAAGTTGTAGCTCCTCTTGCGTGGTGACAGAACTAAGGACACAAACACGCAGAGAAAATGAGTTCCTGATCTGCACTTCCGAAACTGGGAAAAATCCCAAGGCAAGACGCCTTGAACTACTTTATACCTTCTAAGTCCTAACTAGCACTACACTGCACTATCTATGCGCCTGCACTGAACCACGCTACACTACACTCCGCGGAACCTGTGCTTCGCCTCCTGCGCGACGGACTGCCGCGCAC